ACAGGAATCTCGCTAGAGGCGAGCCAGTGGCAGTATGATGCTTTAGTGACATTAGTTGTGAAATGATTTTAATGAGGTATTTATTGTGATAATGTATGTGTATGTATATACTGTATATTACCTCATCGGCACCATTACTGAGTGTTAGGCTTGAGAAGGTCCCCCGGGATCATGTCACAGAGCTTCAGGTAGAGTAGAAGGGAAGCCATGAGGCTACACTCAGTAATTCTAGAAAAAAAGGGGGGAGGAAGCGAAGCCAACGTGACGTTATAGGCGAAATTCGCCCCCTGACATCAAAGCAGGGATAAGGGCCAGCTGCAATGGCTTTGAAGCTGCGCTCAGGCTATATACGGGGAGAGAGTAAGGAGCCGAGGGGGTGTCATGTAATAATTGGATCGAGCCAGGTGGCTCCGTGGGAATATTTTGCAGGTACAGCGGTCGGGAAGGTGTGAATACAGGTGGACACACTCTGGGCAGATGGGCCTAGAGTAATGTGCTACAGCTTTGGCGAGTACAGCAAGGAAGAATGACCAGAGAGCTGTGTGGTATCTACATCGTTCTGGGGTTGGTGCCCTGGAACGAGACGGCAGCATAGACCCGAGGGAACATGACCCTGGGGTAGGAATCTCCGTTGCTCTGGAGGCCAGGATCACGTTAGCTCAGAGCAACGATGGGACATTGACAACATTCACCAGGCTGGACAGCCTGGGTTTTGTCTGGGTCATGGAGGATCTATGACCTAGCAACCATGAGACACGAAGACAAGAGAAGTGATGCTGCCAATTGTGGAGGAGGCCAGGGAAACATTGTGTCATCATTGTAAGCCCTTATGTCAACAGTACAGGGCAAGATGTTAAATTGTTATTAATTTGTTACTAAGGATGAAGAACCTTAGATATATATGTGTTGTGTATATATTAATGACTAGATCATTTCTGTTTAAGGGCCAGCATTCTGGTCCATGTAATTTTATGGTTATGTTTGTATGTAATTATATATCAGCAGTTTAGGTATATGTGCATTGTTGGAGATGGGAAAAAATATTACAGACTATTTTACCTGTGCTGTGATGTGAATATAATGTATATGTTGTAGAAGTGTTGTGAATCATGTCGGGGAACTTTTTAATTTAGTTCATCGTGTGCATGATGAACTTATTGGATGAATTTTTAGTTGTACATATATGGTGGGTGCATCCTCCAGGTCCTTGCACCAATGGAACCTTTGCAATGATGCATATGGGGACATATGCATGTTTAAGGAGGGGAGTGGTGTTGTAATCCACAAGTTAGTAGGGATTATTAGCTAGAGGATCATTACTACAATACTTAAAGAATGATGATTGGAAGTACATGTTAAGTAGACAGACTATGGATCACATATCTAAGAAAGGTCAAGGGATTAAGACCGCAGCTGCTTAGCCAAATTAATAATTCCTGGAAAGAGGACTCAGGCTTCTAGGGATAAGGTTAATCGGATTGTACCTTCCTTGAGAGGCGTGGTGAAATGTTTGAGGCCATGGTTGGCTAAAGTCAGTCTGATTGTGGGAGTGGAACTGAGAAGTCTTCTGGATCTCCGTCGTGGCAGCAGCGAAGTGTAGCAGACAGCTATGTGAGAACCTGATGTGATCTTAGAGACGAAGTTAAGTCTGCAGTATGTGAGTATTGAATGAAAGACTAACCGGGTGTGGAGCGTTGTAGTAATCATTCCGTATTAGGGACTTAGGCGGAAGTTACGAGTGCAAGTGGTGACCGCGGAGGTCAAGTGGTCTATGGGTATTGGAAGTGTATTTACCTAATAGAGTATGTTAATATGTTATTATTTGTCAGAGTCTATTCTTGTAATTAAATGACAAAACCCGACGGCCTTTAAATACCTTCCATATGTTCACTCATTGTGTTCCAGTACAAACCTAGTGGTACGCCTCAAGGGTCTGGCGTGTGTAGAAGTACATGGTGGTAGTAACGGTTGCTGAGGCAAGGTGTTGTGTGTCGTGTAATCGCTGTGTTCGGAATGAACCGGGGTTCAGCGTCACGACACGCAGGTTAAGTTAGGTAATGTAGGTAAGTTAGGATAAGCAGGATAAGTTAGGTTAAGTTAGGCAAGTTAGGTAAGGTAAGGTAAGATAAGTTAGGATAGGTAAAGTTAGGTTAGGTTTAGGAATGTTATGTTAACTAAGTAACATTGGGTGGAGAGTTTAGGTTACGTAGGTTTAAGCAGTGTAGTTCAGAGAACAGTTTTAAGGTAAAGTGACTAAGAAAATATATTTTAACAGAAGTGCAGGTTTGGTATGAAAAGGGTTTGGTGTCAACCCTACTACTGTTATCCTCTTGATTTGGGCTTCAGGGGACAGGTCTGGCGTGATATCAACCCCCCAGGTCTTTCTCTCTCTCTGACTCGTGTAGAATTTCATCTCCCAAATGGTACCTTGTATCTGGCCTCCTGCTTCCTATACCTATCTTCATTATATTACATTTGCTTGGGTTAAACTCTAACAACCATTTGTTCGACCATTCCTTTAGTTTGTCTAGATCCTCTTGAAGCCTCAAGCAGTCCTCCTCTGTCTTAATCCTTCTCATAATTTTGGCATCGTCAGCAAACATTGAGAGGAATGAGTTTATACCCTCCGGGAGATCGTTCACGAATATCAGAAACAGGATAGGACCGAGTACAGAGCCCTGTGGGACTCCACTGGCGACTTCACGCCAATCTGAGGTCTCACCCCTCACTGTAACTCTTTGCTTCCTATTGCTTAGGTATTCCCTTATCCACTGGAGCACTGTACCAGTTACTCCTGCCTGTCTCTCCAGCTTATGACCAGCCTCTTATGGGGGACTGTATCAAAGGCTTTCAGACAGTCCAAAAAAATGCAGTGTGCCCAGCCTTCTCTTTCTTGCTTAATCTTTGTCACCTGATCGTAGAATTCTATTAAAATGCAAGATTTTCCCTCTCTGAACCCGTGTTGGTGATTTGTCATGAAGTCCCTTCTCTCCAGATGTGTTACTAGATTTTTTCTCACGACCTTTTCAATCACTTTGCATGGTCCCGGGGGTCGATCCCGGGCGCCGGCGAGAAACAATGGGCAGAGTTTCTTTCACCCTATGCCCCTGTTACCTAGCAGTAAATAGGTACCTGGGTGTTAGTCAGCTGTCACGGGCTGCTTCCTGGGGGTGGAGGCCTGGTCGAGGACCGGGCCGCGGGGACATTAAAGCCCCGAAATCATCTCAAGATCAAGATAACCTCAAGATCAAGATGGTATTCAAGTTAAAGACACTGGCCTGTAGTTCAGTGCCTCTTGTCTGTCACCCTTTTTGTATATTGGGATCACATTAGTCGCCTTCCATATTTCTGGTAGGTCTCCCGTCTCCAGTGACCTACTATACACTATGGAGAGTGGCAAGCAGAGTACCTCTGCACACTCTTTCAATACCTATGGTGAGATCCTGTCTGGACCAACAGCCTTTCTCACATCCAGATCCAACAGGTGTCTCTTTACCTCATCTCTCGTAATTTCGAACCCTTCCAAGGCCGCCTGGTTAACTGCCCCCTCTCCTAGTGCAGTGACCTCACCATGTTCTATTGTGAAGACCTCCTGGAACCTCTTGTTGAGTTCCACACACACCTGTTTGTCATTCTCTGTATACCTGTCCTCGCCTGTTCTAAGTTTCATTACCTGTTCTTTCACTGAGGTTTTCCTCCTGATGTGACTGTGGAGTAGCTTTGGATCGATCTTGGCTTTGCTTGCTATATCATTGTCATAATTTTTCTCTGCTTCTCTTCTCACACTAACATACTCATTCCTGGTTCTCTTGTATCTCTCTCTGCTTCTGGTGTTCTGTTATTTCGGAAGTTCCTCCACGCCCTTTTGTTCAGTACCTATGCTTCCATACATGCCCTGTTAAACCATGGATTCTTCTTTTGCTTCTCGGATTTTTCCCTTTGGGCCAGGATAAACCTGTTTACTGCCTCCTGACACTTTTGGGTGACATAGTCCATCATGTCTTGTACCGACGTAGCTCTGAGATCTGTGTCCCATGGTATATCCCTTACGAAACTTCTCATCCCCTCATAATTCACCTTTCGGTATGCCAGTCTTTTGTTTCTAGTTCTTTTTGGGGGGAGATAAGTCCTAGCTCTACCAAGTACTCAAAGATCAATACACTGTGACCACTTATTCCTAAGGGTGCTTTCATCTTAACCTCCCTTATATGCCACGCATTAAGGGTAAATATAAGATCAAGCATAGCTGGTTCATCCTCCCCTCTCATTCTTGTCGGTCCCTTGATATGCTGGCTAAGAAGTTTCTTGTTGCTGCGTCCAGCAGCTTAGCTCTCGCAGACAGTGATATTAGTCGGGTGTTAATGCGTTCCCAATCAAATTCGGCGAGTGTAGTGTTATGAACCAAGTGCACTAGTGATTACTCCGAGTGTTGAAAGTGTGGCAAAAGTGTTATGGTGGCCTCCCTTGTGTTAGTCTAGTTCGTTCACATGTGCCGCCTCCATTACCCCTACCCCCAGCACAGCCCGCCTGCCATCTACCCCCAAACCGCTACCTGCGCCTGACCCAGCCGCCCATCAACACACAGCCTACCCACACAGAATGCCCAGGCCATGCCCAACTCCTCAGGAGGGTAATGCAGGAATTGGGGGACAAATTAATCGGCGCTACAAAAGATCAGAGAGAAAAAAGTTTCTTCAATGCACATTTTCCCCACGAACCGAGGGTCTCTGAGCCGATCGGAACAAAGCTGTAGCAGGTTGATATGCCATTCAGCTGCTGTTATCCAGATTACATAAAAAGGGATGTCATCTGCTGCTCCCCAGAATTAGTATAACACAAATAGCAGCACATTAATTAAATGTAACAAAGGAGATCACAGATTTGCAACTGTGTCACCTATGGGAAGTGTGACCCAGGTGCTGGACGAATACCAAGTGCTCCCATAATCACTAAATAATAGCATGTAAATATAGTAATTTACGCTCAAAACTTCTTCCTACCCTGCCAGAGGTGCTGACGGTGGGGTCTGAGGGCAGGTTCTGCATGAGCGCGCCATAGCCGTAGAGGAGGGAGGTGACCAGGTCCACCCGACGCTCTCCGCCCACCACCCACTGCCAGACCTGCTGCAGCAGCCACAGGGTGACGCTCCACACCACCACGCTCACCACCACCGCCACCCACACCTCCCCTGGACGTGACAGGTGACGTACGTGTTACATACGTATGTGTAACTTTACGAATATAATGTCATTCGACAATTAGAGGAAATGAATTACAGATAATATCACCGTAGCGTTTTATGTAGCATCATGGGCAATTATTAATGATTCTGAAAATAACAACTTGTATTACATGAGTATGTGTTTCACACTAATGAGAATTGACTACGTCATTGGAGTTGTTTGATTGTTATTGCATGTCAATTTAATCTTGTGCAACTACTTTTCAGAACACACTGTGACTTAAAGGATGAAATCGCCTCGAACAAGTCGGACGGTGGTTTGGTGATTATTGAGTGGAATCAATCCTCGAAGCACACTAAGCGAGACACTGAGGCGAGGAATCTACCGCCAATCAGCGCTCCTGATCCCACTTGACCGATGCTGTGGTCAGCCTGGTTCACCAGGGGAGGTATCTTATGTCACCTGCCAAATGGTCTCGTTCCACCTCTCTGGGAGCCATTCTCTCTCTCCCAGGCAGTATAGTACCACCTCTCTGGGAGTCGTTCCCTCTCCCAGGCAGTATAGTACCACCTCTCTGGGAGTCGTTCCCTCTCCCAGGCAGTATAGTTCCACCTCTCTGGGAGTCGTTCCCTCTCCCAGGCAGTATAGTTCCACCTCTCTGGGAGTCGTTCCCTCTCCCAGGCAGTATAGTTCCACCTCTCTGGGAGTCGTTCCCTCTCCCAGGCAGTATAGTTCCACCTCTCTGGGAGTCGTTCCCTCTCCCAGGCAGTATAGTTCCACCTCTCAATAAATGAGATACCGGCGTTCCGTCACAAGTCTTATCAACTTTAGAGTCACAGGTATCATGAGAAAAATTATAAAGAAGCTTGAAATGAATTAGAATAAATATACACTGATGGATCATCTAATCGTGGTCAATGGCAGGGCTGGTGCAGCATACACTGTAATTATGAATAATACCTTTCAGTGCGGAAATGAAGGAAAAAGCACGTATTGAGATCTATGCCTCTTCACCGTAAACAGAGCAATCTGCCATTGTAATGGCATTATGATTCCTTGAACGAAACAATAATGGTGCAGTGATCTGCACTGATTCACAAGCAGCACTACAAAGCCTTAGTAAAAATCGGGCAGAAAATCTTGCATTAGTTGCTGAAATCAAGAGAACTCTGAGGGTACTAGTCAACCAGGGAACAGTCGTCTTAATTTCTGTGGATCTCTTTCCATGTTGGAATCTGTGGAAATGAACGAGTAGATGTGTTGGCTGCTGAAAGTGCTGAAGGAGACCATATTGAATACTTCATACCCAAGACTTCTACAAATTAAAGGTATTGTCAGGTAATATCATCGTGAAAAGGTAACTGGGGAAAGGAGGATAGAAGAACAAATCAGTGAATCTGTACGATGGTACAATATGGTTGCAACTGGCAATCCCAATCATTATGGATGAAGAGGAGGTGGCCATAGGAGAGAATCAGTAATAGCAAGAATCCGTTTTGGATACAAATATCCATGGGGATTCTGAATGGAAACAACAGCTGAGCAGCGGAGTTGTAGAATCTGTAGTGAGAGTGATGGACACCGCCTTGACCACTACTTGAGAGCATGAGAATGTGTTGAGAAGGAAGAGTGGAGGGAGAAGGAAGTCAGATACAAGATACCTTCTGGGAGATGAAATGCTTCATGAATCATGTAGATAGATCTTGGGGATTGATATCCCGCCAGACCTGTTCCCTGATGTCCACAACAGGATATCATCAGCAGCATATGCCAGGTTGGCCAACATAAGAACTACCTTTTGAAACTTGTGTAAGAAATCATTTAGAATCTTGTATACCACGTGTCAGACCAATCTTGAAGTGTGCAGCTCCAGCGTAAAGTCCATATCTAGTCAAACACAAGAGTACATTGGAGAAGATTGAAAAGTATGCCACGAGACTAGTACCTGAGCTGAGCAGGTAAGAACTACGATGAGTGATTGCAGGAACTAAACCACACGTCGCTGGAAGACAGAAGTTTGCGGACACATGATTACCATATACAAGATTCTTTGAGGAACTAATAAGGTAGATAACGACCTTTTTATAGTAGGGGGTACATGGGGGGACATGCACAAGCTTACACAGGTGGAGACTGAGAACCCATATGAGCCATAGAGACATTAGAAAGAAAATTTTTGGTATCTATAGTTTGTAATTAGTGTTCACTTCTGCACCAAACATGTTTCCTCTCATAAGCTGCGAGGGAACGAGGTGATATTGCCGGCTGTTTGGCGAATCTTATTCATTACTCAATTAGTTTATTATTGTCTATCCGTTCAGCTTTCCGTATTGGACCACTAAACACTCTTCTGCTCTTATTAAACCAGCCCATCCACTTGGGCCGATTTAGTGACGCTCTGCCGTCCCGGCAGAGCGACGGTCTCGCTTCATGCAGGTCGGCGTTCAATCCCCGACCGTCCAAGTGGTTGGGCGCCATTCCTTCCCCCCGCCCCATCCCAAATCCTTATCCTGACCCTTTTCCAGTGCTATATAGTCGTAATGGCTTGGCGCTCTCCACTGATGGTTCCCTTCTTATTAAACCATAAACTTCCCACAGAAAACTGTTGATAGTCATACATCCAATACCAGAGCATCGAGGAACTCAGTGACCAGAGAGGTGACGCCAAGGAATGAAAATAATGACATCCCTCATCCCTCCTACTCTGAGTGGGCGAGGCTGTCGGTTAATGACTTTAACTTACTACTTTGTAGATAATATACCCGTCTAATTCGGGCAATACCTTTACAATTGAATTAAGATATATTTTATATATAATACAATATTATGTAAACAATTTATTCTTAGTACACAAATCATTTTAAGTACACCTGATGACAGTGTCGTGACGTCACGGCTGCTAGTCCAGCGAGCTGTTGCTATGGGAAAATTCATGACACAAGCTATAAATAACCTATTACATAATAGAATAATGCATATTTTCCACAGCTCAAACTAGAGAAACAGGAATATGAATCTGGAAGAGTCCTAAGGTGGGACAGAAAGTATCTCTCAGGATAGAAACAAAGGGTTACAGTGAGAGAAGAGACATTGGAGTGGAGAGAGTTTACAGGTGGCGTACCACAAGGGTCGCTTCTAGGGCCATTACCTATTTTTAATATATGTAATTGACCTGACAAAGGAAATTGGCTTTCATACTAATGATTGCAGATGATGCAAAACTAATAAAAAAGAGTCAGAACAGGGATAGATTGTTCTGCTTTGCCTACGAATTTGGGAGCATTCCGGAAGTTGTCTGAAAAATGGGTATTAGAATTTAACCCAGACAAATGCAAAATTATGAGGATTTTAATAAGAGTGTGAAGATCATCAGTAAGGAATCAAGAGAAGACAGATTCTTCAATCGGAAAATTAGAAATGCTTGGAAGTGGTCACAATCCGAAACCTGATGCCAAAAATCCACATTACCAGAATAACAACAACTGCAGATGGCATACCGCCCAACGTCTGTATATTCTACAGGAACTTGGACACAGCAGTTTCGGTGCGCTATATACAGAGATGGTGAGACCAACACTTGAATATGCATCACCAGCATGGACCTTTAGGACAAGAGCAAGGAGAAACCTGAAAAGGTCCAAAGAAATACAACGAGACGTCTTCCTGAGCTGAAGGGATTGAGTTATGAGGAAAAGTGAGTAAAACTAAGGGGATACAACTAGGTGAGTTTAAATAGGTGGGTACAACAAGGAGAGTACAACTAGGTGGGTATAACTAAGTGAGTGCAGCTAGGTGGATACAACTAGGTGGGTACAAATAGAAGGAAAAAACAAATAAGTACAATTTCGTGGGTAAAACTGGCTACGTACAACTAGGTGAATACAACTAAGTGGGTACAAATTGGTGAATACTGTTAGGTGGATACAACTATGTGGGTACAACCAGTTGGGTACAACTAGGTAGGTACAACTAGGTGAGTACAACTAGGTGAGTACAACTAGGTGAGTACAACTAGGTGAGCACAACTAGATGAATACAACTAGTTGAGTACAACTAGGTGAGGACAACTAGGTAGGTACAACTAGGTGAGTACAAAAAAACTAGGAGAGTACAACTAAATGGGTACAACTAGGTGAGTACAACTAGGTGAATACTACTAGGTGATTACTACTAGGTGGGTGCAACTATGTGGGTACAACTAGTCGAGTACAACTAGGTGATTACAACTAAGTACAACTAGGTGAGTACAACTAGGAGAGTACAACTAGGTGAGTACAACTAGGAGAGTACAACTAGGTGAGTACAACTAGGTTAGTACAACTAGGTGAGTACAACTAAGTGAGTACAACTAGTCGAGTACAACTAGGTGAGTACAACTAGGTGAGTACAACTAAGTGAGTACAACTAGTCGAGTAAAACTAGGTGAGTACAACTAGGTGAGTACAACTAGTCGAGAACAACTAGGTGAGTACAACTAGGTGAGTACAACTAGGTGAGTACAACTAAGTGAGTACAACTAGTCGAGTACAACTAGTCGAGTACAACTAGGTGAGTAGAACTAGGTGAGTACAACTAAGTGAGTACAACTAGTCGAGTACAACTAGATGAGTACAACTTGGTGAGTACAACTAGGTGAGTACAACTAGTCGAGTACAACTAGGTGAGTACAACTAGTCGAGTACCACGTGGTGAGTACAACTAGGTGAGTACAACTAGTCGAGTATAACTTGGTGAGTACAACTAGGTGAGTACAACTAGTCGAGTACAACTAGGTGAGTACAACGAGGTGAGTACAACTAGTCGAGTACAACTAGGTGAGTACAACGAGGTGAGTACAACTAGTCGAGTACAACTAGGTGAGTACAACTAGGTGAGCATGATTCACATAGAAATCTCATTGTCAAGATATATCAATGAACAAATCCACAGGTACCGTTATGAGGGTTCGAACTTATGCGTTGAGTGTTCCCAGATGCATGGTTCAGTCAACTGCACCACGAAATGG